TTATAATTAATTATTATAATTAAAATTATCCTACGCTCTTTAACCTTCTCAGTCCCTACCTACTGCGAGATCCCGCCAAAACTGTACATGTTAATGTCCCTCATTTACGTGCATATATATGTACATTACTGCATTCTTCTAGCAGCACAGTGCGCATGCGCGAAAACGCGACTTCGCAGCAACACTGGTCTAGTTTCCACCGAAGCATTAATTCACACCAAATGCGACGTAGAATCAAATTCAAGTCGATGGAAACCTGTCAAATTGTGCTGATTTCACTTCCGCTTCGATCTATAAGTACTCTACTTCCAATGGAAACAGAGCACTAAATTTGATCAGTACCGGAGTGAAACCGAATTGAGGGCTTCGGTGGAAACTAGACCACTGAGTGTCAGTGTTGTCGCAAAGTCGCGTTTTCGCGTATGCGCACTGCATCGCCAATCAGTTTCTTCTAAGAGCCGTGTTTTTACGCATGCGCTCTTAAGTAGTAGTCTCACTACCGTACTACTTTCGACATCATTAAGGTTCTGTTGGGACCGAAATAATTTTTCATAATTAACGTGTTTTCTAATAATATTTATTTTGTTTTTTAATAACATTTAAATAAAACAATATTTAAAAAGTAGAATTTTAAAAAGATAGAAATATGAATTCTGACTTCTTAGAATTCAATTCTGACATTGGAAATACTGACTTCTTCAGTAGCACTGCGCTACTGACTGTTATATATTATATGTATATTATTATATTGCTTAGTTTTGTTAAAATAAAAGAATGTATGTTTGTTTTTTTAAATACTGATAAAGTTTTTGGCAGTTTTTCTTACCCCTGCAACAAGAGTTGCTATTTGTGATTTCTGCCACATAAAATATTACATTAAATGTTATTTCTATGTTTATTTATTTCTATTGTCTTTAAATCCTATCTTCTTAATATTTTTTTATTTAAATGTTATTAAAAAACTAAACAAATATTATTAAAACACACTCCACGTGTTAATTATGAAAAATTATTTGGGTCTTTACAGAACCTTGAATGATGTCGAAAGTAGTACGGCAGTGATACTACTATTTAAGAGCGCATGCGTAAAAACACGGCTCTTAGAAGAAACTGATTGGCGGTGCAGTGCGCATACGCGAAAACGCGACTTTGCAACAACACTGCACAGTGTTGCCAACTCGTGAGCATTTTCCATAAACGTATAGGCCTGTTCTACAATACAGTCGTAAGCTGTAAGTCGTAAGAAATTGACCAATCACAATCGATTATTCTTCTGTGATTTGCCTGTGATTGCTCTATTTCTTGCGACTTACAGCTTACGACTGTATTGTAGAACAGGCCTAAAGAGCCGTCTACAATGGAGAGTTGTAGGCCGTAATAGTAAGAAATTGACCAATCACAGACAAAGTACAGAAGAATAATCGATTGTGATTGGTCAATTTCTTACTATTACGGCCTA